AATCCAGCAGGTTTTCCATCCTACCTGGTCTCTGATGAATCACACCTGATCTCAGGCAGACAGTAACTCATCAGGTAGGATGGAAAACCTGCTGTATACCGGCTCTCCAGGATCAGGATTCCCTACCCCACTGTAGACCAATATGAGGAGTAATGATACAAGGAATACAATGTATTACATGTAATTTATCTTTATTCATTTTTAAAGGAAAACAGCAGAGAGAAGCGAGGACACTGGCTGCAGTGTAAGTACCATACTGACCTGTCATGCCCTGAACGCCCTGACCCTCCCGTGTGCCACGCCCCCCTCTTTACCTCGTGTGGAATCCCCAGCTGTTTCGAGTCGTGTTGATTACTGTGATGTGTATTTACATCCGCGTCAGAGTATGTTTCCCTAGTCTGGTCATTGACATCTGTTTGTACCACTAAGTGTGTCGATCCTGAATAAACCCCGTGTTCACCCGACTTCTCCGACTCCTGTGCCTGCTTCCACACTCTGTGCCAGCGTATGCTAAGACACCTGCTGTACTTAATGACTGCTGGGAAAGAAGCTGCCCAGTTAGTAAGTGGAGCTGGTGACCTCAGGTTTGTATAGTGGCTCAGTGAAGAAGGTCGGCACCTTGATGTTCGAGCATCATATCAGATGTTTCCTCACACAATCCAAATTATTCATGGTGTGTGTGTGTGTTTGTGTGTGTGTCTGCGCCCCATGTTATTATGAATTATCATTAGCTACATGTTTGGAGTGCTGACCAATTTTTAAAAATTTGTATAATATTCACCTGAATTTTAAATATATATTATTGAAATTATGTATGTATTGTTCACTGGAAAAAGTGAATAATCATGTAAAAAGTAAGCTGGTCTCAGTTTACTTGTTGGTCTCTGGTCTTCTCTTCCAGGGAACATCAGGCCGATGTCTCAGTGCATTATGGGAACGTGGGCGCCCACACTGGGTTCCACCCCAGAGGGATGGTCATAGAGAACGTGTATGAACTAAGGGACTTTGGCGACTATGAATCCTGCCCTTAATGCCTCTTACACTTAACCTGATATCTCTACTTATGCCTCAGCTCCACAGTGGGTGAAAATGTTCACACTGATATCAATAGTTGGTGAGAAGGTTGGCTGACTTTTATTTTTCTTTTCTGATATCTGTCAGAAACGCTGTATATTTTATAAAAATATATATATTCATAAGAAAACTCAAGAAGAGTCAAGAACTTTTGTCAATGTATGGAGCAACATAACAGAAGAGAACAACATCTCCCAAA